TCTTTCCATACATGGATGATAGCAGAGTGAAAACTTGATTGTATGATTATGAGTGTTTTTAACTCCCAATGGGTTTTAATGGTAACAGAAAATCTCATCACCTACTTGGGTGTAAGTGTTGAATTCTAAAGAATTCATTCCAGAAAAGAAAAATGGAAATTGAATAAGTGATAGCTAATGTGAACTTAGTCAACAATGGGAGATGTGGTGGAGAGCAGAAAAAAACCCTCCAACTATACACAGTTGAAGAGTTAAAGGAAACAGAAATATATTTTAAATAGTTGATTGTTTTAAATGTTGGATACAGATAGTAGCAGCAGTGTTGATTAGAATCAACTTTAAACATAGTTTCCTAGTTCCAATTTCCTGGAACAGAAATGAGTACTTGATGCTCTGGGCTGTTGTTTGTAGTTCCAAATATAAAGGAATGTGAAGAAATGTTGTGAGGGTTTATATTAGGCAGGACAGTAGTTTTGTTCTTTACATTGTGTCTGTCATTTGCTTTTATGCTCAACACGCTGATTGATTGTAAGAAAAGCTATTCCTTTAGACTCACTAGAACATTTCATGAGCTACTGCCAAGTCACTTGTTGCCTTTTTGTGGGTAGGTAAACATATTGATTATAAATTACTGCAGAAAAGAAACCCACTTTTTTAATCAACGTTGACGGTTGCAATCTAAACCATATATACACATCTTTTTAGAGTAGTGTTAAAACTGTTTTATGTTTCAGGCATAAACTGGCGTCACTGGTGGGAGAAATAGTCCTGTCTGTCTCCTGGTGCATTTGAACTATATCGGAGGACTGATCTAAGTTTAAAACTAACCAAGCCAAAAAAGAAAAAAGGGGGCAGGCAGCATGGTAGCTGGGGACAACAGGGTTTTTTTGGTGGCTTATCTTGGTGTAGTTGCCCTTCTTTTGGCTGGGATAGAGTTAGTTTTCTTCATAGCAGCTGGTATAGTGCTGTGTTTTGGATTTAGGATGACAATAATGTTGATAATACACTGATGTTTTAATTGTTGCTGAGCAGTGCTTACACTAAGTGAGGGATTTTTCAGCTTCTCATACTGCCCTGCCAGCGAGGAGGCTGAGGGTGCACAAGAAGTTGGGAGGGGACACAGCTGGGACAGCTGACCTCAACTGGCCAAAGGGATATTCCATATCATATGACGTCATGCTGAACAAAAAAAAGCCTGGGGCGAGTTGGTCCCAGGGCAGGGGTGTGTCTGTGGAACGCTGGCTGGGCATTGGTCAGCAGGTAGTGAGCAATTGCATTGTGCATCACTTGTTGGTGTATTAATAATAATAAATATTATTAAATATTTCACCTTCCTTTTCTGTCCTATTAAACTGACTTAATCCCAACCCATGAGTGTTATCTTTTTTCGCAATTCTCTCCTCCATCCCACTGGTGGGGGTGAGAGAGTGAACAGCTGTGTGCTGTTTAGATGCCTGCCAGGTTAAACCACAACACTGGTTTTCTGGTATTTAACAAGAAGGGAACTAGTTCAGATTGCTAATCCAAAAGTGAACTAATAATTTTGTCTTCTGATAGTGGTTTTGTACTCACTCACAGGAAAGCTGGTCAGGGACTGTTTATCAGGGAGTGTAGTGACAGGACAAGGGGGAATGGGTTTAAGCTGAAGGAGGGTCGATTTAGATTAGATGTTAGAAAGAAATTCTTTACTGTGAGGATGGTGAAGCACTGGAACAGGTTGCCCAGAGAGGCTGTAGCGGCCCCATCCCTGGAAGTGTTTAAGACCAGGTTGGATGGGACTTTGGGCAACGTGGTCTAGTGGAGGGTGTCCCTGCCCATGGCAGGGGAGTTGGAACTAGGTGATCTTTAAGGTTCCTTCCAACCCAAACCATTCTATGATTCTATGTTGAAAACTGTCAGTGCAGGAAAGAGAGCAGAGCTTGTGATCACTGGTGAGGAAGGCCTCTGTTGTAGTAGTTCTGATTTAAATGGGTTTAAGTTCTGGTGGGATTGCATGCTCAGAATTTGGGTCCCTGGTTTGAATTGCAGTGTGAAGCCCCATTTTCTCACTGACCTTTTAGTCACTTAAAAAGCTTCAAAAGTTTACAGATACTCAATGGGCATTCAAAGTTGCTTCATGACTAACTTCTGTGTTAGAAGACGGTGCCTTCTAATTGTTTTAAGGCCATGTTTAATTTTGGCAGCCGAGAGAAGTAACTTTCTTCGCATGAGAATTTAAGAATATTATTAGTGATCTGGTTGTGTCAAAGAGAATGAGAGTCCTTCACACTGGCATCTTAGATTAATGACCACAATGTATGAGATTCCGCATCCAAGTTAGGGTGGTCTTTCAATGGTGAGTACTCACTGTCCCGTATTTCGAATTAGTTCTTTGGAAGTGTCTCTTCTAGCTTTGAATTTAGTGCTTTTTGTAACCCCACTGATTTGGTACTTCTCTTTTGTCTTAGAATGCTTTTTGTTGGATTTTTTTGAGTAAGCTTAATTTAATTTCAGTTTTAACAGAAAGCATAGACACAGTTTTAGGAAGTTAAGGCAATCCACTTGAAATTCAAGTTCAGGATTAACTTTCAAAATGATGTGACATAAAAAACCCCTTGCTGGCTAGTAGTCTGTGTATGGAACTTCAAGAACAACATGATTTTTTTCTAGCAATTTCTAAAATTGTTAGGGGATCTTATTGCTGATTTTAGCCAGTAGTTTATTGTGCCCATGCTGGTATGGCATCTTACATATGCCTTGCTTGCTAAAACATCATCTTGTGTTTCAGGTTATTCTTTCAGACTTTTGTACTTGTAAGTCTCCCCAGCCTCACCTCCTCTTATAAAATCTATTTGTATTTTCATGCTAGCTATTCCATCTAATCTCTCTGTACCTAATGTCTGCCTTACTCAAAAATATTTCTGCTTGACTGTGTCTGTGACTTGCAGCTCCCAATCGATCTTGTAGCTGAGCTTGTCAAAAAACTGTAGATCTCCCTTCCGTGCATCGTTAGTAAATGGTGTTTAATGCTGTACTGATAGCTGTAGGAAGTGAATTTATTACTTACATGGCCCCTGCAATGTCCCCAAGTAAACTTGTTTAGCTGGTTCTACTCTTAAAAAAAAAATTACTCACTGGGCAGAAAGATAATCCAGAGTGCACTGACTTCTGTGCATCTGAGATCTGTGATCCTGTTGGATTGACCTCATGGATCAGCTTCCCAGATTGGGGATTTTTGGTGGCAAAGTAGAGAAGAGCAGTAGAATAGGTAGGCTGAGCAAGGAGGTTCAGAGGCCAAGTTACAGTTGGTTGGGTACAGCAGGGTCTGGGATACTGTCTATGGCAGAGCAAAGAGCACAGCTCCATGCGTGGGCTCAGTGAAGAGGGATGGCCATTGCTGGTTTGCAGCTGTTGTTAGCTCTTTCTTAATCTCTCTGTCCTCTTCCCAACTGATTGTGAAAAGAGAGCGAAGAGGGGAAAATGTAGAGATAGCAGGCCTGGCCTAGTGTCAGACTTCAGTTCTGTGTTCTTACTCTTCTGTGTTGCTGGATGAGGATTCTTCCTCTGCATGTTTCCATGGTTCCTCTTGGCTAGCAGTTGTTATCT